AAATAAATAAATAAATAAATAAATAAATAAATAAATAAATAAATAAAAAGTGACCATGTTAGTGTTGTGGAGCAACAACTTTAACTGAGGATTGCCCCAGAACGTCTTGAAAAAAGCAAGTGATCAAATAAATTACATGGAGTAAGAACGGCAATACATTCCTCTAAATTGAGTGTAATGCGGTAATTTAAAACAGTGTAATTAAAGAAAAATAATTAGATAATAAGTAAGTATTAAAAGGAAGATGGAAAAGAAATTTCAGATTCCTGTGGAGCTTTATAGCTAAATGGCTCAACAGTTATCATTAGTCTTTTTATTTCTCTGATCTGTTTTTTTAAAACACTTCCTTTGGGACAGTTGAACATTTTTAATTCTTAACTATGTTGTCATTAGAATGGAAGCACACATACATGTAAAGTATTGTGTTTTAGATATTGTTGAGCTGGTATTTTAAGAAACACATCAAGGGTCCAGGAAGAACAAACTGGCTATAGAATAGGCCTTCATATTTTTCATTGTTACAGTTTGCAATTTGTGTTTTTAAAGTGCATAGCTACAAACGACACACATTATTGTGACACACAGTTTATAGGTAACTTTACTTCCCAGTTGACCAAATCTACTCTGTCAAAATGACACTCCATAGATCCTGGAGCCTCGCTTCAGCTCAGAGACCTTGGCCCTGCTCCTAAATATTCCTCCTCAGAAGACTTTGCTCCGCCGTCATCTTGCCACAGCTTTTGCCACGCTGGTTGGTCCTCAAGCCACACAGGAGAAACGAGAGTATGGGAATGCCACAGGCCACATGCCCCTCACTACCACAGCTAAAGTAAAAGTAAGAGCACAATCTCAATCCTTGTAAGTGTGGCTGTTGTAGCAATGACACACAATGATTCAGGTACCATTTTCTTTTTTGTTTTCAGCCAAAGAAACTGGGCTTCACCCAGTTCAGTCACCTTAGAAAAAGGAAACCGGACGAATCTGCGGACTACATCTGCCCGGTAGACAGTGGATTGCTGTCAACGAATGGAGTTTCTCGCTTTCCCACTGTTGCACATCGGGGACTGAGCTCCACTTTGGACAGACAGTTGGAAAAGTGGGAACCAGTGGGGGTAAAAGCTCAAATCAATGGCACCAAGCAATAAAGAGTCCAGGAGAGCCCTCATGGTTTAGTAGAAAATTCAATGCTGATGTCCAATCAAAGTGCTTTCATGTGGTGATTTGCTGGATGATCTGTAAATATAGTTTATGTACACAAACGTGATTTTAATGGTTGTTGAAGTATTTCCAATTCATCATTGCTTAAATGCTATTTATCTCAATTGTGAATGATTGGTAACATTTTGTGATTAATTTTATGAAGGCTGCACTCTGCATTCCTATACAGTTAAATTCCAAATCTTTCACTTTGCTTTAAAACGTTGCCTTTCATTGAATATTTTGTACCTCCTGTAGATTTTATTGTTGTATATCTGAACTGTCTGTACAGTTTAACAGTTAGAAGTTACCCTAAATATGGAAGTTTGCCTTTTATTTTACATTTGCTAATTTTTTGAAGTACAGTTAATATTGTATAACTTCAATAAAAGCTTATGTTTGTGATTACCTCAATTAAATGTTGTCGTGATTATTGTGGATCAAGACAAAAGTTAGATATGCCATCAACTTTGGGAAGTTTTGGATTATATGACCAGTCTTAATGTTTTGTTGCTATTTTGTCATCCAGAAAGTCCAGATTTTACTTTAATTATCATTTACAGCACACTACATCACATATTATAAACTGTACAGTACAGTGTGCAATACAGCATGCAACATGAGGACAACATGGAATGATTTTCAATGAACAGCTGAATCAAGACAAAACATTCAAATTGCAGAAATACAGTTAATCTTGTCTGTCCCACCTACGTTTCTTTAACCAATCGGGTATACGTATAATTACAAACCTGTTTTTACTGTATAAACACATCTAGTTAGATTAAAGTGGGAAAGTTTGAATGTCTCCCATTGATGGAGCTGACAATGCCTGTGTGTTTTCCTATAAGCCTATGCAAAACCTAACATTTTATCACTTACCCAAAGGCATGCAAATTAGCTTCAAAGTTTCACCTTTCAGTTAGTCAGGATCTGTTGCAGCTGTTTCCTCCAAACAGTCTATACATGTGTTAAGTGGTGCCCTCCAAATTCAGATAATATTCAGCTATAGTAGTGATGCAAGATTGACTAAAATATCTTTTAAGTTCCATTTTAGAAAAAGCTGAAAAAACTCATGGGCCATATGAGGCATGATAAGATGTCATGGATTTGTTAAAAAGCTCAAAAACATGATTTCGTTTGAGGGGGACTTTATGTTCCTTAGGTTTTGGTGATATCAACAAACTCTATCAACAAACTTTGATTGATGGAATACTTCATGTAATAATTCAGATTGAACATATCTACTTCTCTTAGTTATTTGAGTACCACAGAGTCAGACTAAATTACTCATTATGGGTGTGCTTTTATCAGTTACTTTCTGACTTAATCTACTAGGATTCCACAGGAGTAATTGGGACTGTGGTAGAAAGGGCAACAGTCAGTTCCCCTTGCAACCTTCCTGTAGAGGCACACACCCTCAATTAGACCAAACACAATAATTAGTGAAACTTTTACCTCTGCATATCATTACATTTCTAACAGAGAACATCCTGATCAATGATTATAAATGACAGGTTCATAAATAAATTAGTCCTGATGAGAAGAGGGTAACCCTATTCAATTGATCCACGTGTATGGGAAATTAGAGGCAAAGAGCTGTGGGGACTGGGGTAGTGAGTTCTGCATGCATAAAAGCGTGAATAGAAAAATTATAATTGTCCTATGAAGATGATTTTATAATAGCTGCCAGTCTGAAATCACACACAATTAAATTGAGCTGAAATTCCTGTTTAGAACCAGCAGGTGTCAGTGTTGCATATGCACAAGTTCAGTATCATAAATGCAACCAGTCCGGGTGCTTCACTGTTGTTTATTGTACTTAGGAAATGTAATACTGGACTCTGGTTAATGTCCATGTTAGAGAGCATTTTTTCTTGCACTTTCAGTTGTCGGGTTACTTAAAACCATGACAAGCTTTCAAAAACTATGACAATGCTGTTTTAAACTTATTAATCCTATTTTTTTGTATCACTCGCTTCTTTTCGCATTTATTCTTGAGTGCATGTTTGAGCATGAGTGAGCATGATTGCACATCTGAAGAGATGATGGCATTGTTTATAATACTGTATCTTGGGCTAATTTCAGTAATGTGAGCCTGCCTGCTCCAGCTGACAGTTTAATAGCTATTATTTGTGTTGCCCTCTCTCATAATGCCTTAACAGTAAATTGTTATGTGCAGGAAGCTGTGCTTTTACTGACAACGTACCTTGCAATAAGATATCTGTTGTTTTAATTAAGTGAAAGCATTTGTGACATTTATTGGTTTCCAAGTTACTTAATAATGACAGCGAGAGAGAAGAGTGAAAGGAAATTATTATGCTTTACATTACATAAGTAATTTGCAAACTCTTTGTTAATGATTACACATTATTCTCCCACTGTTACTGTCATTTCATTTGAATACATTACAAATAAAAAACACTACATTGCCGATGCAACATAAACACCCCCATGGCAATCACTGAGCTCACTCTATTCAGCTTCTCTTAAGTTCCGTGAATGTGTGTGTGTGTGTGTGTGTGAGTGTGTGCATGCGCCTGCGTGAGATGATAATTTATTCTTTACACCTTTTTGTGATGACATTTTAGAGAAAAACTTTTACAAATGTTCCGTCTTAGACTCATTTCACCAACCAGTACAATTGTACCATAACTTCTCATCCTGTCTGTTAAATCTTTGGACTTCCTCAGATGTCTTTAGTGTAACATAATCACGTCTTTATATGATGTCACTGGGTGTTCCAGTCATTAATGTGCCACCAGCTTGCCAGTTTGGGGAACATATTCAGTGTTAGGGCGGTGCATGTGTTTTATACTCTCCATCCAGCCACTAAAGCTGTGTGTGTCTCCAGCACACCAGTTTGTTCTGACAGGCCTGCCACAATGATGACTGCATCACCCAGATGCAGCAGAGCAGCTTGTGAGCCAATGGTGACACGCCGTCAAAAGGAGCAGCCAGCCGTCTGCACGCGCCTTCTTCTGCCCCGTCAAACCTCAGAGTGCATCTCATCCTACACAGCCAGCAAGCATCAATCAGGCTGCTTCTCTCTGTGTGCTCCGCCATGCAGACGGTTTCCAATGTAACACAACTGCATTACTCTGCTTCAGTTTTTCATTAACTGATCTCAAAATTTAGGGGTATGTAAATCTTTTGAAATTGAATACAAAACTTTCTGAATTCACCACAAAAAAATCAGCGTGTCAATACAAAGCAAGCATGATAAGATCTGATGTGGAGATTGTTTGGAAAAGAACTTGATTATACATGCTAATACTTGGTGCCAAGACACCTTTTTCTTTGGAAGCTAAGGAATGCATTTAAGTACCAATGTGCTTGTTGCCATTTTAAGAGGAGGTGGCACTGCCTGATAACTGAGTCCACAATTATTATTTTGTTACTTCTTTGATGAGTTATTATCAATTTGGTTTCAAGTGAACATGTTTGCATGTCTGAAGGAATACATTGGTTCATTTTGAATATTTTCCCTGGGGAACCTGACTCCTTTGGATCTAATGACATACACATGCCACTTTCAAAATGCCAGTGGTGTGAAGTGAAGCCTAAGGGACTGGCATCTGTGCAGCACAGTTTGTTAATTTAGCTTTCTATCAGCTGTTCAGAGGTATCATGTCACCGCATTAACTATGCTGAAACAAAACATATTTATTTTACCTTGAATCAGTTAGCTGCAGCAGATAAATGTTTAATTTTTCTTTTTTGCCAGATTGAAAGCCAGAGGAGCTAGATTTTACACTGTTTGAGCTGCAACTGTAGCATCACACCTGCATACAGATTTCTTTAATGGGTCATCGCTGTTCAGACTTATAGATTTGTATGCACTCTGTTTTGTTGCTACTTACAGTGTGGAAAATGTATTTTTTCTGAAGTATTTGCCTCCTTTTTTTTCCCCAATTGAACTAATGATTAGTGAAAGGTGACATGATTTAGAAAAGTGATATTTTTCTTTTACCACTTGTAACTATCATAGAGATAAGTTGTTTATTTGTTCACATTTGATATTGTTTTCTTTGTAAATAATAAATGTGTAATTCGATTTTTGGTTATACTGACATCTGTTGATGAAGTTGAGTAAGGCACCAAACATGGCATGATCATGCGCTGAGTGCATGACCAGTGAAGAGATGCACCTCCATGGAGGCAACAGCAGCCAGGAAAAAAGTTATTTTGGGACTTTGCTTTAAAAACAAAGATATGGACAATACCATATCTTAAATGTTTGGTCAGAAGACGCACACGGTATGTTTATATTGTTCATTATCTACAGTTTTCATGGTGTTTGCTTGCTGAAGATATGTGCTGCAAGGAAAAGAATTAATGCTAGTAAAACATCAGTTCAATTTCCACCCATCATACTTTTTGAGGGCCATTGTTCAAGCTGCCAAAAGTATTAGAAAAGTGCTGAAACTCAAAGGAGTTCTCATGCCAGACAAATGACAGCAGTTTCTTCACTCCAGGCCATCAAAAGACATGAGCAAGACTGACATGCATCACCGGAGGCTTTCATGTCTAATGAGAACACCTATCTGACTCAGGATAAAAGTGGACAGAGGAGTGCCATTGCAAATACCATTTCATATTTGCTCAGATAGTGTCATGGTGATCCAGTGAATGTCCAAAGACCTGGAAACTAACAATCATTGAGATACTTTTGTTTTGTTTTCTAAAAGCTTTATATTTCACATTAGATGCCATCATTCAAACGGTATAAAACGTTATACATAGCATTGATTCGTCTTGTTTCATTCCACAATGCGATATAGCTTTTCAGGTATGCTTCATAAGATACAGCAGTCTGATAATAACATGTTAAAAAATCACACCAGTAATGTATTTAAAGACTAAAATGATTACAATGTAATTTACTTTAAAAATCACTGCAGGCATACCTTTTGTATTACGTGAAACAGCCACAAATTAACTG